CGCCAACTATTGTATCGAACATTGGTCTTACTAACATTAATATTCTAATGTATGAAAATTTGTCCCCTATATCTACGACAAATGTGTCTTAAAACACATCAACCTAACTGAGTAACTTATAACAGCAAATTCTGTAGCATTTGTAACAATTTGACCTTGCCTGTAAACTGTCATGTCTCACGTAACACATTGTTATTTGAGTATTTATGACCACTATTATTATTGTTATTATTGCTATTATTACGGTAACGACCAAAATACCAATATTCGGTTTCAACGCAGAACCAAAGAACTAAAAGTTATCTGTATAAACCAGACTATGTTCTTCCGTATAACATATAAAGTGTTTTTTAGTTATTAGTATTAAACTATATCAAAATGCACTATCTGTACTATATTTAAACGGTTCTAATTTAAGGATGAGAACAAATCACATCAGAAATACAAAGTTTTCAGACGGTACAGTTTATGATACAAAGTCAAGAGTTTCCATAACACAACTTTGCATGCTAAACAACCAAAGGAATTGTTAATGAAAAAGAGTTCAATGCCTGGGAATCGACAAAAATATTTTTGACAAAATGGGATCAGATATCTATCAGAAGGGATCTCAGAAATCTTTCCAAGAAGACAGTTAATGGTTAGCGATCACACAGTGAACCAATCCGTGACCATAGTTTGGTCAAACACGACCTTATTGTCAACAGTCCAACAACACGCAACGAAAAAACTAAGTAACAAAAGGTGAGGTCCTAACCAAAGTCACATAATAAAAGCTCAGTCGAGAAAGACTGAAGAGGATAAAGTGCAGTTAAAAGAGACCTGAATAGAGGTTAAAATACACGACGGGGAGAAGAAACAAATAAATCACAATACTGTCCAGCGAAATATTGTGGAGGGATTTCCAGAGTTTTCTTCTTGTTACAATCATTATTACAACTCCTGATGGTATTTCGCTCTTGAATAATCGCGTTGTTATTCCTCGCTCACGACGTGAGTTCGTTCTTTAAGATCTCCACATTCAACATTTGGTCGTCGAGAAAACGACATCCCTGATAGGGTTCACGTGTTGATGGCAGTAGATTAATGCATATATATGTCGAACAGCAAACAATCGCGAAAGGAGTCATAAGGGCTTTACAGGACGTTTGGCTGGCCAGTCAATTTCTGAAATCAGATATGAATGTTCAGATACCGCATTGTATACCATATTTTCAGCATAATCCACGTTAAGAACGGACGACAGCTTTCGTCGTCAGACTCAATCCATTCATCATGAAGGCCATTCTATTCTGGAGACGCTTTCAATTAACATGATCTGATCTTTGCATTTAGATGCCTTGCACATGGTGTACTCAGGTGTCACAAAAGACCAGCCAATATATGGATAGAATTAGCACACAAAAGACTACTAAACATGAACTTGTAGAATTATGGTCTAGTATGATATTAGTACCGCTCTAGTAATAGACCTAATCCTAAAATTGTAGAGTTGTCATGATATAACTGCCTAATTTATAAGATCTTACGTGGAAGTCACATCATCGTCTACACCTACTCACTGTATCGTAACAACTACCAATACATGATGAAGAACAAGCTTAGGCTAGAGAAAGAACAATATATTTGATATGAATAAAGGATATAAGGTTATATTCAGCAAGGACCACGCCTGCATGGCCGAGCCATGCCATTCAATCAACTCCAATTCATTCAGCCCATTGTTCGCGCCTTCTCCATCGTTAGGTATTTCTCCGCGTTAAATACTGAATGTCTATATTTCCCGAGTTGTCTCGTGTTCAGTTTTGAGGATTGTGTGTTTATGGTCCAATGCCACTACAAACTCATGTGTAATTAGGGATATAAATAATTTAATATCTAGTTGCGTGGCAAGTAATCCCCCCCACTTTCGGCGTAAATGCCGCAAACTAAACTTCGTATCGGTATGGAAAGCTTCGGAGAGTAGGTTGTTCCTTCTCTATTTAGGCCCCGTTATTCTGCAAAATACATTGCCACGACCTTTGTATCTTAATTTCAAGCACTATTCATTTATTTGCTTGCATATCTTAAATTACATACTAGTGTTATAGAACCGATCAGAATGGATTTACGGAACTTTCCTAAGGAATATGAACGGTCTTGTGGGTCTGAAGACTTAGATTATAATATGCATTTGTTTGCAAAGCAAGCAACTCAGCTTATGCGGAGAAAATATCCTTCTGTGATAGTCTTCAAGTGACTCCTTCGACCAATAACCGGTAGGAAGAACTCAAGTAAACAAGTAATTGTGTATAAGAATAGTAAAATAACTTCATTTAAGCCCGATAATGTTGTAGTACACGGAAAGTCTGGTTTAGTCACTGATATAGGAGAGAACGGACTACTGAAATTTAGGTCTTCCATAAACCCACGCGACTACTCCGAAGATCCTTTCCCTTCCAGAATATAGGAATATCTATGTGCTCGGTAGTTAGCCATGAACACATATGAATATGAGTTAAAGATACTCACTGTAAATGTATAGCCGTCAATTATATGCATTGCCTAGTTATTGTTCCATTGTTACATACTTTTATGTGAATGCATTTTGTTTAATTTGTGCTGAAGTCATGATCATAAACCATTTCATTACCTCTTATGTAACGTTTAGCCCGCTATCAAACCATACGTCGCTGCAGACGTACCCAGCAAGAAAAACTTATGATAGCAGCCAAGCAGTGGATTGCTGGCAAAGAAATTTGTCTCTATCCAATGGAGCTTGTCGATATCCACCTGCAAAACTGTGACCAACCAGATGACAACTGGTCAGTTCTGAAATGTAAAGTCATTCACGAATTCAGTGAGTAACAAACACAGAAACTATCACTTACTATAGATAGTTTACAGCTTGAAAAGGACATGTTAGTTTCCTTCCAAAAACTGGGTGTTTATCGTAAAGACAGCTCAACGGACGAAAATACCTTGCCACTAAACACTGAGAAGCCCAAGAGGTCAGTGCAATAATCTTACTAACGATTTCTAAAGGTGCATTCAAGCGTAAAGAAGGGTTTTCTTACGATTCCGTTGATATGGATGTGACCGAGATGCGGGCTGGAAATAGTCACATACAATTAGATACATCACCGTGTACGGTAGAATCTAAGTGTGTAGGCAGTGCGTTTGTGGCCGAGTAAGTCACCTGTACGATCAAGTGAAGTTTTTCGGATTTGATAGATTGCATACTGTGCTGCAGAACACATCGTCAGCTATTACTGACTTAAGTGCAAATGTGAAGCTGCTACTGTCGAAGCCTGGTGACCGCAAAAATTCGCATCGATTCGACTGCGGACTATCACTTCAGCAGTTCTTTTTGTCATCTGAAGAAGAAATGCAGATGTTGGACGCCTGTTTGCAGGAGAAAGAATCCAGGGACAGATTTGTACGTCAGCAAAATTAATTTGATAATTCGTCCGTCTACAGATGTCCATGTTAACGAGGTTGGTTGATAATAATCCCAAGACCTCAATGCCTTATGTTTTGTCGTACCTCATGACACCTGAGGTTGCCAGTAATTTCACGCTATTGGCACGTCAGAAATGCCGGTTTTACGGCTGCATACGAAGTAACCTATATTTATTATCTAAACTTCAGGTGCATTAACCAATCGATTTTTGTCATCATGCGTCAACGAAAAAGACCTTGCGAAACTGTACGTTATCGCGACACAAGGCTATTTTCACGACGTGAGAGACAAAGTACAAAAGAAGAACACGTATGTACTAATTTAAATTGATAACTTGCCTAATGCTCTATAGGTACGGTCTACAGTGTTAATGGACGTAACCGTAAGTAAAGCTTCAAGCAGCTAGCTGTGCCAAAGCATGTCATTCAGATATCGTTGCGACTTTTTGTTCTTTACACTTCAGAATTTACAAGAAGGTTATTTTCATTCTCAATAGCTGAACAGGCGTAACGGAAAGAAGTAATCTGTGGAATATTTTTAATGTTCAACTTATTTTTAAATAAAGATTTTTTAAACATGCGCTTTCTTTCCTACATACATGGGAGAGTTTAACTAAGTGTTCAGAATGTGTGTTTGATTTTCAGTGCACTTGCAATTAAGTACATATGCCTTAGTAATAATACATAACCTTTTTTCCTTTGCAGATCTTTTCAAATGACTATAAGACTTGGTAATTACAATGTAAATGCATAAAGATTGATGCCCAAACTTCTTCCATGTATATAATACCCATTTTCTTTCAATAAATTTTTTTAAACATATACCATTTTTCACGTGGATTGCACATTGGGAGTGGTGTGTCGTGAGAATAAAGACGAACATGGGAGACCTTTGTGGTTATGCCAATAGTGTAGCGAAAGTAGATAACTCGGCGCATATTTAGGAGAAAAGTAGACAATTCGGCATATATTTAGGCGAAAAATAGACAATTCAGAGACATTTGACAGAGCGAAAAAAAGGCGAAAATCCGCATTATTCCCCCCCCCGACAGGCGAAAAAGCAGACATTTTGGCGCAGTCCCCCATTATTTACCTTTTATTTTCTCATTCAATTTCCCATTTATTTCTCCTTTATTCGCCTTCATTTCCCCATTATTGGTTGTTCGGGTTGACAAAGTGTATACTGGCTTCTGATCATTTCCTTTGACTTATTTTTACTGCCAACCTAACTTCTAAGACTTAATAAACCATAGCGAGTTTCTTATTATTTGTTTTAAATATTTTTTGACTACATATAGCGAAAAAAAGTTCTTGATATGACGACAAGCTGTTTTATAAATCAAAATTATTCTTGAGCAACCATATATTACCAAATAATCTGATCTTGAGAGACCATTTTATTTCACGCAATATACTTTGGAATGATGAAATTAATAATTGTTTACCAAATATATGAAGAAATGAATGTGTTGCATTAACACTTTTACGAAACCCGCTGAATTTGGAACTCTCAAGGTTAACGGGTTCATGTTGATAATACTACATTATTACTAATCTCGATGGAGAGGCAGAGGTCTTTCGAAGTTCTTCATGTTGATGTAAGGTATCTCATAGTTTTAAATATTTTATTTCAGGATGAAACTTTTAACCTAGGTATGTTCAAGCAAAGATAAACATACAGAAGTTCATGGTTCGTACACTTTCTTATTACCTTTTGGTGCTTGAAGTTTGTGTTTGAGTCCCTTTGTTTCTATTGTAGATTCTTTTTCCGACCTTTATTTTATCTTTTGCCCAAGTCAACACTTTCTGGATAGTTATTTGTTAGACGTTAATGCAGCCCAACAGCTTAGCCTCGTTTAAAATCGTTGAGGAAGTCCATATTGTCTTTTAAATCGCCTGAACATTTCTAAAAACTATGGTCTATTTCCACCATGGAATTCAACTTGTCAGAAAAAGGTTACGTAATGTCGATGACTTTTCCTATTCGTAAAATGTTGACAATATGAGACCCGGCAACACACCGGTTCATGGCAATTGTGTTCACAGTGAATTCAGAAAACCTTACAATTGTAGTTCCGTTTACGTGAAAATTCTGTCGACTTTAAGTACCAAATATTCACAATGTGCTTAATTTTCTCCGCTGATCAATAAATCAGTTCAGTTTTATAAGACCAATTTATTGACGGCACTGTTACTGTTTTTTTCCCCATCAGATTTTTACAGCTGATATAGTATGAAGGGTTACCACAGTCTTGGGGTCCTTTTATATCCAAGTGTGCAGTTTCGAACCAAGCAAATTTCGTCACATCCAGCGTCCAAGTAAAAGAAGAACGCTTCATTAGCTTTAAATACTGTGAAAAATTAGGAATGTGGTTGTGTGCACTTAGAAAAATTCTTTTAGTGTTTATTTGTATAATAACTGTTGCACAAACAATTTGTTTACAGTACATGAAATTTTTTTAGGTTTTGATAAGTAGTAATGATCAATGACTTCCCGACAACTTAGCTCCTATTTATGTTGATATCTCAAAGGGAGTTTATCTACGCAAACATATTTTTTGACTGTTGCTAATGAATTCGACACCCACAATCACTGTACTAATCTTTTATGCCTTCCTGGAGTCCTTTATATATATACCCCAAGAAATAAATGTCTCTTATTCATCTAGTCCTCGAAATTCCAAACGTTGGGCCTTCAGTCCTGCTCATGAATGCTTAACCTCTGGACCACTGAACCGATATCCAACGGTGTTAATGTATAATGTCAGTCAATCTACAATACGGCGCAACCATCTTTGATTATCTGATGGGTAACGGCTACACACTCAACACGGTTGAACTCCACTGGTCAAGGTTTCTCACTAGAACTTCGAGAATTCCCTCTCGAAGCTAGCCACTAGTGAGCACATGATAATTGTCAATATAGGGTTGTAGAAATTATTGACTTTCATTGTTCGGTTCACGATCCCAATGATAATTAACAATTTTAGCAACCATATACTGATGATTCATGAACGTTTTAAACCTCAGGTAGACACGGCAAACGTTTCTCCTATATATTACCACCTTTGACCTAACCACTCCTATGAATCCAGTGTTCATCTTGCTGTGCTAATGAGGTATGGCAACCTGGGCCGATGCATACATGTGCCTGGTCCTACGTTGTAGCTGACTGACTGACTGACTGTGGATAACTGTACTTTGACCTGTGGTTCGTCTGAATTCCCTGTAGTGTGAAATCGGTATCTGCCTACTGTCCTGAGTTACTAAAGTTGTTTTGCGTGTCTTTCGAGACCATTTAGAATCTTCTTCAAAACCATAATAAAAAACAAACCTTGTCCGAAAATAAGGTTACACCAGTTAGCATTTCTGGGGGATCAGTTTTCGAACCCCACAATCAGTATGGGCTGTGTTTAACGTACAGCAAATGCAGGAGTGAAATTGGAAATTCCTATATATCAAATAATTCGCGGACATCCCTTGATTCTCAATATTAGGCAGCATATGATGTGAAGCAATAAAGTAACGGTATGATCTATCGTTCAACCTAAAAGCCATGAAAATAAGTTGACGAGAATAAGAAAAATGATACCAAGTGATGGTATCAGAAACAATAGTACCAGAATTGTAAAAAGGTTAACGGGGACGTAGTCAGACTTCCAGCAGGTACCTCAAAAGGGTCGATAATTGTGTATTAATTTTTTTCCAAAAACGGCTGATATAGATAGATCTTGCTAATATCTGTTGTGCTGATTTCAGATGTTACCAGATCAAGTTGCTGTCTTGATCCTCACAGTTGGTACTTGCTAGAAATGTAAAGCTATAGCCTAATTGTCAAAGTACTCGGCTTAAAACCACTACGTTGTAAGTTTGAACCCCACATGAACTAACACGATTTTCGGCAACCAGGTTGTATTTTTGTTCGATAACTAATTTATGTCCCAAATACAGATATCTGTACTTGGTAAATAAGTTTCACTTCTCAGTGGTTCCTAGAGCGTCAAAATACTTTTATAAGTTTTCCTATGACTTGATCTGTTTCATCGCTTATCAGATCCTCCTCCTAACTACAGGCAAAGGTTTGACATCTTTTGGTAGTTCTTCATAGATCATATCCTCAGTCAGGGGGATAGTAATCGACAGACAAGCAACAACTTGTAATATCAATCTTTCTGAGTTCTCACAGTTTCATTCATTTAGATAGTGTGAATGCATGTACTGCTTTCAACTTAATCCTATACTTTCACGCGTGAAACCACGAAAGTTCGCTGTTGAATCTCTAGATACCTACCAGGTACAATGGCATGCTTCCACACGTTGGTGAAATAAAGTCAAGTAGTGACACGAGTTCTAGGTATAGAATTCAGAAAGACAAATTTATTTAGTAGAATTTTAAATTTACTGATTAATGATATCTGTTATCCCATAGTTCTAGCATTAAGGTTTCCGACAAGTAGTTTAACTTACTGTGTCATGACACCACGTTTGGTATTACGTAATCTCAGTTTGTTAACTAGTCTCATATCCGAATGAAGCTAGTGGGGGGTTGGTAAGGTGTCTATGATAAGATAAAGGGAATTAATGTTGAACCGGATAAGCCTAAGACTTGCATATGGTTTGTGGAGGATGGGCACTTTATCCCTCCCTAAACAGTAGAGGGGCTATGGCTTGGTGCCCATCACTAGTTACTCATTGTCCATTTAAACACCATTCTGACGGTAGTTCTTTATACCATTAATCATTGGTTACTGGTGGAATCCCTATTGCGTAAACATAAAATTATTAATTCACCAGTAAATTCTCACTAGAAATATGTACATCCTTTGTTATATTTTAGAGAATGATAGTCTTGTCGAAAGTGTCTACTTGGTTTCTGAGCAAGCTGTTTCTGATGAATCACCTTCTTACACTGAGGTTTCGGAGTCTGACAAGTCAGAAAATTCTCTATCCACATCGACGTTCGATTTCGTCAAACTGGACTGCGACCAAAACCATGCGTAAGTCACATTTCCCCACTGTTTATAAACAGTATTATGATTAGCGTGCTTGTGCTCGATTTCAAAGTTTTCCTTGACTTTATTTTATGTAGTCACTGAACATGTAGACTTCAATTTGTGGAAGGAATCCAATAATAACCTATAATCTACTTTATCTATTTAAATGGATAAGGTTAATTTGAGTCACGGATCTTGTCGTGTATAAAAGAAATACTTGGGTCACTTTGAAGACAGCTTATGAGAGCATGAACTATAATCACTCTTTGTTAAGTGTTGAATTTGTTCATAAATCTTGGATACTTTACGCTAATCAATAGGAAATAGGCGGTTCCCATTCAGTTTAGACCATGTACATGATAGAGCTACTAAATCCTGTGTTGAATAACCTAACTATTTATTTGATTTGTTTGCAGAGTATATTTTGTAAAACTTTAGGTTACAAATCCCAGTGATGATTTGGATGAAACAACCTCGTTCATTTGATAACTAAGTCATAATTTCCCTTCATTTTTGAAGTTATTTCAAAGACAGTGTCATTTAAAGTAACTTCGGATGGTTAAGAGATCAGGATGATCAAACTAAAATTTGCTGAGAAGTAGTAAGACATTTAAAAACTGAAACGAATCATTCTTTGGACTGTAGACTATTGGAAATGTTTTCTGAAATTCTCTTATTGTCTCATTCGGAAACCATATCTTTCATTTCTTTTTGTGAATGATATTAAAATGTATAGTGGCCTCAGTAAATGTGTGGTTATTCTGCACTTTTCCTTAACTGAATTAAGTTCAGTAATGTATCTGTATTTTTACGTAAACTGGTTCAAACATTATAGAAATCGTTGTGTTTATAAATATCGTTGATTGAGTGCAATTAACCAAATTTGAAGTTCAAAATGATTTTCTGTAGAAACCAAAATACTCATAATGTTGCTTACATTTAGTAATTAATTCATGTTTATGTGGCTGATATCTATTATTTAATTAGGTAAAATGAAATGTCATAAACGAATACTATAAAACCTTTAATGTCTCCTTTACTTTGAAACCGATTTGCAGTGCCATTACACAACCCTCTCCATCTTGTGACTTGGACCAGTTACATTGTCTAAGCATACCTGATGAGAAAGAGCCAACTATTGTATATGAACAATCATGTATCCAATCGTCAATGTACTCGGAAATAAATGCCTCTGATCGGATACATTTTTACTGTAAGTAACTGTTTGACTATTCATGAAATAACAACAGTGAAAACTTACAAATAGAAAAATGTGACAGTTATTTTAACTACTTAGTTTACCTTCAGTACTTTGTGGCGATCAATATAGTTTGTAGATACTTTTCATCTTGAACTGAAAATAGCCACTGCAAACTTTGTAACGCTGAACAGCTTTTGCATACTAGTTGGAAAGTTATTCCTGATATTAATTTCTCATCTTTCAAAGCAGACTTAGCTACTATCAAGTAAATTCAGCTTTGTGAACAAAAGTGACTACTATTTTTTGACCATATTTCATGAACTTTAAGAGCTGGTTTACAAAGAAAAATATCTCGTTATTCTTGCGATTTTCTTCATATCATCCGCTGGCGTTTTAATCTTACAAATATAACCGAACAATTCAACGACCATTTCGTCTTACAAATGCTTTTATAGCACGTAATGTTTTGTAATTTATTCTGTTCTGTGCCTCGTACTTAGTTTGACGTATGATATTGATCAGTTTACCTTTGGATACCAACTGTTTCGCCTATCCTAACTAAAGAAAACAAAAAACTTACGGTCCTATGGCACAAATTTATGCACTTGATAATACACTATGCTTTTCGCGTCGCTGGTATCATTTGACTGTTAGGTCTGTAGTTATTTTCACCTGAAATTCCTTCTTGGTTTTCCAACATATATATATATATATATATTTGCAGGTCGAAGTCATATAATTATGAGATTATGGTTTTATTCAATGTTTTAAAATTTTCATTAATGTCTTTCATTTAGTAAAATTACTACACTTAACATTTTCCTACCTTTTCCTGCCTTTTAGTCCGTGATTTTCTTTTGGGAGGCATAATTTTCAGTTTGCTTTTAGGTAAGTCACTTGTGTGGTAGAAACGAACTGTTTTTTTGTCGAATGCTTTTTGTACATACATCTGTATGTATACGAAAATAATTAGAGTGGCTATGACTTTCATCTCTTAATTTTATTATCAGATAAACCAATGGAAGTTAACATCAGTAAATACGGTCAACCCACTGATTACTGTTTTTATTTTCCGACTTGTTGGATAGTTTTACTACGCCATATTATTAAAACAGTGCTTGGTTGTCTTTTTCTCCGATTAGAAGTTAATTCGTTGTAATCGTCTTTAAATATATCAATTTGCTGTTTTTGTCTTTCAGAGTTCTATGATGTGGAAATGACTTACCAATTCAACCAATGCCACTTACATTGAATTATGTTTTTAACTGCAGATTTAATATCTACAAGATAGATAAATTTTTCTACAAATGGTATCTACTAGCCTAGCAATCTATCAATATAAAAAACATTACTCCATTGTAATAATAATTTTATGTAAATCAGTTTACTCATTGGTGCTGACCTCAATGACGAGTAAAAAAATCGGAAAAGCAGATTGGTTCAAAAATTCCTTGATGACTAGAGTCAACAGTGCACAAGCTAATAAAAAAACTAAAAATACAGTTTTTGAATAGGTGATACTCGACCATTATGTACATTTACTAAGGTAAATGTTTCGTTGACGGCAATATTTTTTTCAAAAGATAACTGATAAAACTAGACCAATCAACAATAGAATATCAAAAGACAATTCAGTTGATCTTCGTCTGTCTATCATTTCGTTAGACTTTGAATAAAACAATAACCCTTGAAATTTAAATAATGTTGTAAAAAGCTGTTTTCTTGATATCATTCATGTATACAGAGATAAATTGATCTAGAACTTCAGCCTACATTCATCCAACCTTCTTATCGTTATGACATACAGCTCACTATTTTTCTTTCTAACAAAAAATAAACAGCAATATTATTTTGATTGTAATGAATTCAAATCAAAATATAAGTTGATTACCACTAGTCGTATATTGAAGTATAATTATGTAATATACAGTTGTATTTTGACTGATAACCGAATAAATTCCTCACTAATAAACAATCTTTTGTTTCTTTTTCGCAAATATCATATATATATATATATATATATATATATATATATATATATATATATATATCAGGTCACATGCTGTATTCTGAACAATGTTATAAAAGTAAGCAAAAATTCTGTTTACTTTTCTTTGTGTATGACATTTTCTACCAGCTTTTGCATTTTCTTTACTTATTTTACTCTTAAATTGTTTATAAATGATTACATATATACTTCATACGAAAACAGCAGTAGTAGTGTACCAAACGATTAAAAAATTACCCTTTTACGTTTTATCACTATAGATTAAAAGAAAAATTACAATAGTTATCTGTCAATTGCATAAGGAAAGTAAAGCATAACCAAATGGACAAATTCATACGTTTACATATTTTTTTTTGCTGTTATATTCCAATATAAAGACTTATTAAGTTCATATAAAATAACAATTAAGTTATTCTAAATCTAAACGACTATAAGTTTCTAACTGTTCTTCACTTTTAACACTGAATTACACCATTTTCTTATTGAGTTGTTGATTTATCAGTAAATTATTTGGTGGTAGTATTTTCAATAGCCGTGAGGTTAATCAACTGTTTTTACTGAAATAAAATAAACCAAGGCTAAATTTATTCCTTTCGATTAGCTTGAACTAAATAAGTAGTTGATTTAACACACTGTCCGCCCCCAAATGCCCTGGTATGGCCGAGAGCGGGGTGGGTCTGCCGTCCTTCTCGAAATGCTCTCACACGGCCACGCGTATACAGCCTCTGCCAGGGAAGTCCTACTCACTGCCTTCTCGTGGCATTACTGTTGTTTACGAAAATGAGAGGACGAAAAGCGAATGTCCGGTGCTTTAACCGGATCCCAAACCAATGGTGCACATGGGCTCCAGTATCCTGCGGGAACGAATGGCGTATGAACCAATTCTCGGTCACCGGCTACCATGGGACTGCATCTCCTTACGACGCTCCACTGCCTTGTGGATCAAACCTTCAGGTCGAAGGCTCGGAGTGTGGTCCCTAAGATAACCATCTGCTTCAATCTGGGCACCGGGCAGTATCACAGCTCTCACGCAAATGATGAACTCTCTATATCTATGGAAACTACTTTTCTCGCTTCGAGTAACAATCAAATTGTTATCATTACTATTATTATTATTATTATTATTATTATTATTATTATTTACTGCCACATTATTCACCCTCTTTTATTATCTACTTATACAGCAGCTCGTCTTTGGTGGAAATTCGACTGTATCTAAACGTTCTCGAGTCACTGTCCGGTTGAAAATTGTATGTTACCACCGAATACGAGTACTGAAGCAGTTTTTCTGAAACCACGTGCACCATTCAAACTGGCTGCCTTCAACGTTCGCACACTTATGCAGGTCGGACAACAGATAGGGCTGGCTATGTCTTTGGAAAGTCTTAATATCGATGTTGTTGTCTATCCGAGACCCGTATTCAAGACTCTGGCGAAGTACTACAAATTCGATCTCCATCTGTCGCTTCGAAAAGCTTGTTTTACGTGCGCTTATCCGGGGACCCTGTGGCATCTTCGTCTGGTCTTGCTGGCGTTGGTGTCGCACTAAGCGCTAGAGCTGAGGCAGCACTAGTCGATTGGATCCCCATTAACAGTCGGTTATGTGCTGTTAGATTAGAAAGTTCCATCAAAGTGAGAAGAAATCGGCGTGAGAAACGATGTCTTTTCGTCATCTCCGCCTATGCCCCGACAGATTGCAGCCCGGATGCAATCAAGGATGAGTTTTACCACCAGTTATCTGTTCTTCTCCAGAAAGTGCGTTCGACAGATATTGTAGTACTAGCCGGAGACTTGAATGCTCAGGTCGGGCGTCTAGGCACAGAAGAGAGTCGTTTAGGTGGCCGATGGGGACTCGTTGGTCGCAGGTCAGATAACGGGGACCGTCTACTGCAACTTTGCACAGACCACAACCTGTTTCTGGCTAGCACTAACTTTCGGCACAGTCATCGCCGATGTGCCACCTGGCGTCCTCCCTCTGCATCTCAAGCCTGGACTCAGATTGATCACATCGCGATCAGCTACCGCTGGCGTGGTTGTGTACAAGACTGCCGCTCCTTTTGGAGTACCTATCTGGACTCTGACCATGCCTTGGTCTGCGCCAATCTTGCCTTACTTTTCAGTGGACAACGAAGTGACCGCCATCAACGGATTGATATTAGCAAGCTGGTTGCAACTTCTGTTGCAAGTAAGTATCGAACCGAGCTAGCCTCTAGGCTAGCTACCACTCCACCGAAAAGTATAGATGAGCATTGGTTGCAATTGCATGACGCCATGAAAATGGCGGGAACAGTCAGTTGTGGGTTTGCGAAACGTCCCGCTTTAAGCACTGGGTTTCTTCTGGTTCCTTACAACTCATTGAAGCCCGTCGGTCTACTCCGGGTGACCGTGAGTTTGACCATAAACGAAGGATGTTACGTAAGGAAATTGGGCAAAGCTTGCGTAAGGACCGAGAAGCCTGGTGGTCGAAGCGTGCTAATGAGCTGGAAGCAGCAGCTGCATCTGGTAACTACCGGAAGCTCTTCCAACTCATCCGAGCCACTGGCAGCAAGAAGTCTGGTGTGAGTGAAACAATCTGCGAGGATGATGGGATGCCAATCACTAACATCCATCGACGTCTTGGACGATGGGCAGAATTTTTCGAAGGGCAGTTCAACTGGCCTGCTGCTCCGGCAACATCGGTCAGACTGTCCTGCCCTCCATGGCCGGTGACGACTGATCCACCAAATGAGGAGGAAGTCCGCAAGGAACTCCAACTCTTGAAGCGTTACAAATCACCTGGCCCAGATGACTTACCTCCGGCTCTTTTTAAAGATGGTGGTGACTTTTTGACTAAGGAATTGACGACGTTGTTTACAAAGGTTTGGGAACTAGAGAGTGTACCAACGTCATGGAATGAGTCGATAGTTGTCCCTATCTTTAAAAAGGGTTCACGTCGTTCCTGTAACAACTATCGGGGGATAAGTCTACTTCCGATTGCGTCCAAGCTATTGGCTTCCGTCATACTTCGTAGGTTGTTCAAAACCCGAGAAAGATTGACTCGCGAGGAGCAGGCTGGGTTTCGTTCTGGTCGAGGATGTATTGATCATATCTTCACCCTCCGCCAAATGTTAGAACACCGCCATACTTATCAAAGGCCAACAATCGTAGTGTTTCTTGACATCAGGGCTGCCTTCGATTCGTTGGACAGGACTGTTCTCTGGGATTGTCTATTGAAGAAGGGTGTGCCTGAGAAGTTTATTAACATCCTAAAAGCCCTATATAAAAACACCTCAGGCAGAGTGAGGGCATACAACCACCTCTCTCCATTGTTCCATTCGAGCAGTGGGGTTAGGCAGGGTTGCCCAATCTCACCATTCCTCTTCAACTTTGCCATCGATGACATTCTGGAAACAGCTCTGATGAATGTAAGTAATGGTGGTGTGGATCTGTTGCCTGGAGAAAGACTTCTCGACCTTGAGTATGCGGACGATATTGTCTTACTGTGCGATAATGCCCAAGGCATGCAATCCGCACTTAATCAGTTGGCAATCAGTGTCCGTAGGTATGGTATGTGCTTTGCACCTTCGAAGTGCAAAGTACTTCTACAAGACTGGCAGGATTCTAATCCTGTACTCACCCTGGATGGTGAGCAGATAGACGTAGTCGAGAAGTTCGTGTATCTGGGTAGCTGCATAAGTGCTGGTGGGGGGTGAGTGATGAGATCAATGCACGTATAGTGAAAGCCAGAGCGGCTTATGCCAATCTGGGCCACCTTTGGCGCCTTCGTGATGTTAGTCTGGCTGTAAAAGGTCGGATCTACAACGCGTCGGTGAGAGCAGTTTTGCTCTATGCTTGTGAAACCTGGCCTCTCCGAGTTGAGGACGTTAGACGACTCTCTGTGTTCGATCATCGCTGTCTCCGAAGGATTGCTGACATTCAGTGGCAACACCATGTCAGTAATGCAGAGGTTCGGCATCGTGTGTTCGGGCACAGAGATGATAATCAATTGGTGTCACCATCTTGAAACACCGACTTCGGTGGCTTGGACATGTTCTACGAATGTCGTCCCAGAGAATTCCACGTCGTGCATTATTTGCCGACTCTGGGACTGGTTGGAAAAGGCGGAGAGGTGGTCAGTGTATGACATGGTGTCGTGGGATGGAAGAAAGCTGCAAAGGGCTGGCTTCTGTTGGTCCTTCACGACTCCTCGGCTGGGGTCCTATAGATGGTGCAACACAGTGGCTAGAGACGTTGTCAGATATGACTCAGAATAGAAGCCAGTGGCGATCCTGCTGTAACCTTCTCTTACTTTCTTCATAAAAAGTGGTTGTGTCTTCCTTAACTGAAAGATTTCTTGTGATTTTACCTTTCCGTCCCCCTATTTTTACCATTATTATTATTACACCACCTTACATCAATCTCTTCGTTGTTATTCTCTCTTTTTTTTCCTTCCTTTTAAATTCTCATTGTTTTGTGTGGCGCATATATATTTGGCGCATTCTTGTACCAATATTTATGTGTTCAAATAAATAAATAACACACTGTCCACGATCATCGGTACTAAAACACCTATTTCATTTACTTGGCCGTATTAACCTTAGTTTTTGGATAATTATATAGAAATATTAAAAGAACGTCTATAATAATGGTAGTCTTATATTTAACAGTACAGAACTGATAGAAATTAATCACATATTACAGTATTTCTGAAGAATACTATTACTACTACGAATCTATTTCTTTAAATCAATAATCTTTTCTGACATTTATTCAACGGCTCAGTGATCAGTTCATATCACGATAGTAATAATACACCCTATGTGTTTTGAAATACTTTCATGCAAAATCAACAGGCTGTGCTAACCTTTCAATGACTCATTTAACCAGTTCATTCAGTTAATATTTGTCAGAATATTCCAATAATACAGTTATCATTCAAAGTAATAAAAAAGATAATAATTATAGCCTTCTATTCTGGTTATTGACGAGTAGTATAGTTTACATTTATCCGCTTATTACACAAACTTGGTGATAGTTCAAAGTTATTGATAACTGTATAGATAAATCAATTGTCTAGTTCTATTTTAATCTTGCTTTTCATGGATTTATTTCATTTTTTCACTCGTACTCTTTTCAGTCGTATTAACATCTTTCTATTTTTGTCGATTTTTCTTCTCTATTTCGAAGTCTGTCAATTTTAACCAAGGCACTTTTGTTTCATGATTTGTATGTTGTGTAGCCTAGTACTTGTATCACTTCAAAACATTTAATTTATCTCATTTAACGGCCAACGATTTAATCATTTCCCCCTTGATATTGTTGTTTTCTTTCAGATCGAATTGCTGGTTGTGAAATTGAACGTGACAAATTATCAACAAGTAAGTTAATATAAGTTTCATTTGTTTTGTTACATTTGCCATTAGTTTTTGCTTATTTTATCTTAATTAAAAAACACTTCTAATCCAGTAAACGGTCTATTACACAGCAAATATTCGTTGTGTTCTACCGTACAGATTCAAGGTATTATCTTTAAAAATGAGGGATATATATAAGTTGTAGGTATTTGATTATAAAGCATTGCTTGTATGTGACTAAATTACTGAGTAATCAATGCCAAAGTTAAGTTAAGAACCGTTTTTAAAAACAAAGGTACTTTAATCACCGGTTTCCTTCTGGGCTTCAGAAGTTAAACTGTCGGTCATGGCCAACGTAGATCGCAGCATAAATGTGTTTTGACTGACGTTAGCATACCACATTAGTACAGTAAGACCAAAGTAACAAGATAAGTGGAGAAATTAAATTAATAATGTAGAAACGATGATCTGAAAGAATAAGCATTGAGAATACGATCCTGAAAGATGGTAAAAACGGATATTTGAAAGAACACTTGAATTTAAGGTAAAGAGTGTATGCATCTGCGTCATTATGAATGATTCTCATCCAAACTGTGCAACTATTGATCACAATTATCGTGCAGACCCCATTCACGTAGTCTGCATATACCAACATGGCTCAGGCCAACCGTCATAGGCCTCACGAGCTGATGCCACGTTTCGGTTTGGCCGCTCCAAACTTTCTTCCGACCTACTTCCACAGCAACTAATATCGCACACGTAACACATGTCCAAAACACCTCAGTTGATGGATATTAACAACCTCACCAACAGATATACCATCTTTCCCTGGTACCTTATTTCTAACTTCAACGTCGCTCAGTTGGTTGTCCAAAGTTAGATGGACACTGCTTCGAAAATTTTAACACTTAGCATTTGATCGTATTGAAACGTAAGCTTCCTTCAACCACTCATTCTATATTCTTGTTACATTTTTATTTAGCATATATATGTGAGAATTATATGATATCCTGTTTATGAATGGTAGCAGTCATTTAGCTTAAACTAATAATCATGATGTTCTAGAATGCTAAGTCCAACCCAAATGAGTGTATGCACACATAGATAACCATCTAACTTTTTTCTTACAAGATTTTATGCTCAGAACCTACTATTTTATAACTTATCTTGAATGGTTTCGAGTTACTGTTCTACCTTCAAATGTTCTCATCCATATATATATATATATATATATATATATATATATATATATATATATATATATATATAGGATAAAGCAAATTTATTTATTTTAAATAGGCTAATAATTTCGTCCAAAATATACCCAAATGAAACAAATCATGATTGTTTTCGACTATATATTACTTAATGCAAGCTATGTTTATCCGTCTGGAAAGAATCGATTACATAAACAAATAACCTCATCTTATTAAATATCTACACACGTGAACTTGAATTAATTAGCAGATGTGCCTTAATTTAAAGACGAGTAATTTTACCGGTATATATTGTCGACCTTTCAAAAAAATTGTCTTTTATTATCACTGCCTTTCTTTTTTCGATCACTTCTGACTTTTATTTTACGCCCCATTTTCTAGACATTTCTTTTCTATCGACTGAAATTTTACAAAAAGATACAGCATATCGACATCTGGAAATTAAACATAAACACCTTAAAAATGTAACACATCAATTGCATTCAGGTAAGAAGTTTTGTTCTTTTATCATTTATATTGTTTGTCTGTTACTAAGAGGAAAATATCAATTTTTCTGTATCTGCTTAAACTGAACCTGGTGTTTTCTTCTGATGATAAATGCTAATAAGAGAATAGAGATCATCTAGTTACTTTATACATCCGAGAATTTTTATCATATTCCATGGATTGTATGTATACAGTAATAATCAGTTCAAGTTAGTTATGGGGAATTAATTATTTAAAAACTAATGTCCATTAAAAATTGATTACTGCTAAAACTGCAGAGCAGGTAATGTCGAACTATAAAAATAAGATATAAGTAACTGTCAGTTTATTATCACAGGTGTAATAGATAAATAGTTGTAAATTTCTAGAAAGGGACTTTCTTCAAGCTGTTGCTGTATGAATCATGATAAGTGTTTTAGTAATTCACAATTTGACCAGTAATAAAACAACAAGATAGAACTTAATTATCGAATACTACTCTGGTTCCCTCAATATTATCCGAACCACAGTATATTATCTACTTGTCAACCTTAATAGTGTCATTAATGTCTAGATAAAAAATGTACATGAACAGTGAGAAACCACGTATGGTTGTGCTGACTAACCAGATCGAAGCAATCTTAAAATTGAACAACTCTCTTACTTGTTTAAGGCCAATCTTATCACTTATATACAGAGATTGATTTGTTTCATAGAGCTAAATCGTCCAAATCACTTCATTTGTCCTTAACTACATAAATGGACTGCTAATGCAACTATCAAATCTATTGTATTTATATTTCTCTCTATTTAGTTTGTTTCATAGTTCAACTTTAAGATTTATTCGATGATTACATTTTTAGCAATGATTGTTAAATTATATAATGCCCTTTAAGTGTATAGCTTGTAGGACTTCATTTGCTAATTTGTTTATGTACACTGGTATTGTATTCTCTGTATAATGATCTTCAGATCATGAAGTATGTTCAAATTAACTCTTTATGTAACGAAAGAAATACAGAAGTTTATAATAAAAATTATATAAAAACTTATAATCCCCTCTGGATTGATCCATCAACCCCAATCGTTTTAACATGAATCAGTCATCATATTTAGACTATGCTCATACCGAGCATACTAGCTAGATTTTTATAAGTCTACGATTCTAATATCTGGTTACGGACTAACACAGTTAGCTACATTTTAGAAAACTCCTACTCACCACTTACAATTTGCTTTAGTTAGTTTATTTATTTTTATTCATGCAACTGCATGGTTAATGAGCCGCTCGTCAGGTTAGTTTTCATTTCTTCCAAAACTGAGTAGAAAGAAGAGATATAAGGAATGATATGCGAACAATAATAAATGAAAGAGAATTTAGTACAAAATAATCAGCCTTTACAAGGTGTATACGAAAGAAAATCACAACCAAACTTATATCAGTTTTGTTCATATCTATTAATAGCTTTGTGTTTGGAAGCAATTTGCCAGGAGTCGAATACTTAATTTTCATATCTGTTTACATTCATGTCCAAACTACCCCAGCAATATTCAAGTAGATTATCCTTCCTCAAAGATTCGAACTTGAATCACTCAGTGTTTCTTCCAGGAAACTCTTTAGTTTGCTTATTTGCTTATAATAACCTCATTTCCATTTCATGGTGTATATGTGTTATTGTTTAAAAAAGTTTTATACAAATCAAAGATGCATAGCTTTTGTTCACAATTCCAGATATATCTATACTAACAGCTGAATTACGTGACAAAGCCCTAGCTTACAATGAATTAAAATCAGACTACAAATATGTCAGTGATAAAATGAAAGAGTTAACCAATGGTAAATTAACCTTATTTTAATTTCCTTTATATAATTCCATTATTTTTTGATACCTTATTATTCTTTGCGTTGTACAACGTATTGAAAATGCCACAAAATAACTAACTATATATATCTTAACAGTAGAGCAGTGATTTAGTGAGTTATATAAGCAGACTGTTCATGTACATGTTTTATCTAGCCCCCAAATGCCCTGGTACGGCCGAGGGTGGGGAGAGTCAGCTCTCTTTCTCCAAATGCTCTCACATCCCCACGCTTATACAGCCACTGTCCGGCTAGTTCTACTCACCGCCTTCTTGCGGCGGGGGTGTTGTTTACGAATTTGAGGGGACGAAAAGCGGGTGTCTGGCGCTTTAACCGGGCTGGTGCACATGGACAGTCTACCTAGGGAAGTTGGAAAACCCTGATTACAAACCATTGACGCACATGATGTTACGTCCAAGGTTTTGCTCGTTCCTGTTATTGAGGTACGGTATGTCGATCTATTTGCAACTTACGAACCCAAATTAACAACAGAACCAAACTCCAATTCAGGTACCAAAGTTTATTCGCAATTTACAAATAGTCGACCCAAACGTCGTTCTCCAATTTTGTACGTTCCCCGAGCAAAAACTCCCAAATACCAAACCAAAGACAAAAGAAACCAAAGTGTCCGAAAATAATAATATAAACAAACAAGTTCAGAAGTTGAGTAAAGCAAATACATCCGAAAACACAGTGAAATTAATAATATTTAATATAAAGGTTTTAATCAGTCAAATGTCTTCAGTTCTCCCGTAACACATGGGCTCCAGGATCCTGAAGGAAAAAGGGCGTATGAACCAATCGTTGGTGATAGGCTACCATGGGACCGCATCTCCTGACGTTGCTCCACTGCCTTGTGGATCAGACCTTTAGATCGAAGGCTCGGGGTGTGGCCCCCGATGCAAACCATCTACTTCGGTCTGTGCACCTGTGCAGTATCCTAGCCCTCACACAAATCGAATGATTTATGTGGCGCATATGTATTCATTGCCCCTTTGTACTAATATTTATGTGTTCAAATAAATAAATAAGCAGTCTACCTTAAGCCAATGTTTCATAGCTCACCAACCACCTTAACTGTTTTATTCTGGCCTCATACTTATATTTAGTCCTTAAGTTATGATAAAACAGACTATTGGTCATAGTTTAATGTTAAAGAAGGTGTAGAATTTATTAAGCTTTTTTTTCGAATTTGATATTTATCGAACATATTTCTGATAAATAATCGCTTGCCACTTTGTCGTTTTCTAGGACTTTTGATGTATCTGAAAATCTATTGATCCTGAGATAAAATTGTAGGTATTTCATCGAAGACGTAAACAAATAAATCCATATTTAAATAAGAAAGATAGATTGGTTCAGCGAAGAGTTCTCTTTTCGGCGAATTCATTTTCAAGCTGTACAATCGCAAATATATATACTTATTTTTACAGGGTGATAATAATACTGATAATAAACTTCTGTTATACATGGTGAGAGTGAGGTTAAATAAACAAAGGTATTTATTTAACCTCACTCTCACCATGTATAACAGAAGTTTATTATCAGTATTATTATCACCCTGTAAAAATAAGTATATATATTTGCGATTGTACAGCTTTGAAAATGAATTCGCCGAAAAGAGAACTCTTCGCTGAACCAATCTTTCTTATTTAATTTCATAATGGGTGTATTCCGTTTATAAAAAAATCCATATTTAACATTGAATATGGTCATCAGTACGATCTTACTAGTCGATCGCGCCTAGAATGTTTGGATGGTAGCTGAAGTTGAACTATGATTAAAGGTTTACATGTTTCAAATGTATTATGGGTTGAATAACTAAATTTTCAATATCATCTAACAATGAGGCTTAATTGCTCAATACTAACAGTTTTTTTTCGCATTCATTAGATACTCATTGTCTTTGTTTTCTAAAATTTAATTCATTTGTATCAGTCATGATTATGATGAAGATGGAAGTAATATGATATTTGCACGTATTTGTAACTTCAGTGAAGCAATAAAATCCCTAAACTTTTTAGCTTAGCCTCCATGTATTTGGTCGCGTAATTGTATATTCCCTTGATGATAAGATGATACTTCAGTTTTGTAGAGATCACATCACTTTCTAAGGTGTTCATCGTAGATTTTTGCTCCACTGTAAACTATTTATTTATAGGTATTTCCACAATTTCTTGTCGAATCCAATCGAAATCCTTTTTTAAATCTCTATTTTTCTTACATATTCTTCGGTATGTATTCAAGCTAATACGTGATCCGTGATTTATCACTTGACATGTCTTATAAAGTATACGGTTGACCTAGGAGAAATACGTACAACTTTTTCAGTAACATGATATACTAGCCCTTTTATTCCGTAGAACTGCTTTTTATGGTGTTGAGGCTAATTTCTCTCTATTTGGCTACAATATTTCATATCCCGTTAACGGAATATTTTAGCAGGCCAAATCTTCTAGTAGTATTATGAGTTTACTCGAGAATATTCAAAAGCCAGAAAACCGGTTTTTGGGACAGTGTATTAATGAATTAATCAATTAGTGAAACCCGCACGTACACGGTGAATCGATCGAGTTAAAAAATCCATATATATTTATGAGTGTTAATCGATTGTGGAGCTAAGTTATTGATCGTCTATGTAAACAACCAATGGGAGGATAGATAAAGAATGAGGTGCAGATATGCGTTCAACCAGACTCACACATACTTTTACATAGTGGGTTACTTGTCTAAATTACATCAGCTAGGTAATAAAAACTTCTAAGGGCTTGCTATAATGCCACCTATAACTTGCATCTATTTTTCTTACTGCAAATTATTTTACGTATGTTACATTTTTATTATTCTCTTAGACTATTTTTATCACTTTTAAATCCTGATCTTTCATCAGAAATGTGTGTGGCAGTCTAAGCATTCAATTACATGGAGCTGTTAAGATATTTTTGTTCAAAAACAGATTCCTTTCACCTATTATGTATGACTTTGCTGAATGTATATTTTGATATTACTGTGTTTTCTGTCGGTTTCATCTTTTTGTATACTGCTGCGAAGCGGCAGCCCAGTGGTTAATGCGTCCCACTTTCGCCCACTAAATCTCAGATTCTTATCCCGCTCTACCTACTTCAGTATGATCAAACAGTATCGCTTGCCCTCACACTTAGAGTGTGGGTTAAAGTCTAGTAAACGAATCTGTAACTGGTAGATAAGTTGTAAAGTGTAATAACTTGAGGTAGCACACAATTTTAGCTAGGTTTTACACTTATCTATTCTTGCTACAAGCATTTCTACTAGGAAAAGTGCAATAGGACAAATTACATCGTCAGTTCGTTTTGCATTTACAGTGAGTCATCTTTCCTGTCTTTTCACTTTATTGTAAATGTTATTTACGCAAATTTAAGATTACTATTCATTAGTTATCCTTTCTGCTTTCTCTCTTAACCATCAAAATAACTCATCTCTTATTTTGCATAGAATTGCGAAAATTGAAATTTGCACTTATGGATTTGAAACGCTCTTCGCTATTTTTTCCCGGTATCAGATTGATCAAAGATATCTTGTGTAAAATTTTAAGCGTTTGCCCTGATCTAGATGGAGAGTAGACAGATAAATGGATTAAAGGTGAGCCGTGTCTTCGGGACAGAATAAAGGATAATATATTTTTCTTTTCCCAGTCAATGTTTTCGTCATATTTCTTTATCTTGTTAAGTTTTATTTTGCGTAATTTTGGCGTTTCGTCTAAAATCTCTTTTATCTTACAGCTGCTAATGTAAACATTTATACCAAAAGATTATTTATAATTTATCTTCATTATATACTTCATTTTGAGGATTTTCCTTCAAGTCATTACGTCACAGTTTAAACAGTATCATATAAACTGTAACACAAATAGTCCGAAATAAATTCATACAAAAATAGAGTGAAGTTTCGATTTATTTGGTTCTTCTCCAATAAATAAATAATGTACCATTATGCTTCTCTTGTTTACGACATATATTTCAATTATTTGGTTCTGATATAGTTTGATTTTAACCAATTTGCAGAAATCAGAGTCGTATCTCTAAGACAAATTTTTATTATGAAGTGTCGGATCTTATTCGGAAATTCTTTAACAATTGTTTTCTGAAATTCGTTATTTGAAAATTTACCGAATACCTATTCTTTAGTTTGAAATCAGTGATAGTTGAATGCTTTGAACACTTGATCTATCTCGGAAGTCGCATTAGTTTCGATAGTTGGGTGTCTAACAAGATATTGCCGTAGGTCCGAAATGCTCGCTTGGCTTTTGCGAAATCTTGTCACTCGTGGAGTAAGCGAGGCGCCCATTTGCCAATCAAAAGTCGATTATACTTGGCAGCGGTTTTCTCTGTATTACTCGACAGCCTTGAAACAAGGTCTATGAGAGTAGAAGACACGTGTGCGCTGCAATATTTTTGGTTATATGTGTCTTCAAAGCATTGATCCGCGTATCATGGAATGACCAAGCAAAAAATGTTGGGGTTAGACATAGATTACTAGCCAAATACATCAAGAAGGTTTATGAGTTTAGCAATATTCATTAATTTGGACGGTTAAGACACGTGTTACGTATGGATAAACACAGCCTACTTCTGTGAGGGATGCTGGCTACTGTAGAAGTACGTTGGAAGCTAGGAGAGGACAAACTAAAACGTGACATCAGTACATAAAGCTACCGACTGTTAGTCTGAGCCACGACCGTTATTGCTACCTTGACGTGGTGGTCGGGCTTGCCTATTGGGATGAAGCAACCGAGCTATACTGGCTGAAACAGTCATCCCTCAAAGTCCTACCATGTCAGACAGGTCGGTTGAAGGGCGGTAAGACTGAAAGCAACAAACCCAAGATCCGAAGACGAAGTCGTATTGCTGACTGTACAGCAGTAAGGTGTTTCCTTCAGACAACCAGCATGAAGCGATGCTGCCTTCCCACAAGGAGGGGTGGGGTTAGAAAAGGTTGACCCTAAAAATGCACACCTCGCCTTATCCCACGGATATCCGTCTCCAGCGGTAAGGTCTCAACAAATACGGAGCTAACACAAAAATTACCCATAAAAAGGTCGTGTGTAACCGACCTCAAGCAGTTGTCTCTTGAGCACTGCGTCACGCTATCAGGTCACTAAGACCACCTCTAATCCAATTTCCTTTTCAGGTACCTCCAGAACAAACCTTCCACGGTGTGGGCAACCGGGAAGTGATAACCGCCCTCATACCTCTAACAGCACTCAAGGCCACTGTATTCATAATCAACCTCCGTCTTCACTTCCTATTATTCCTCCTACATCGAACAGATAATGGTGATCGTTTGCTGCAATTGTACTCAGACAATCGTTTATTTTTAGCAAACACAAATTTTAAGCATAAGGAGAGACATCGTCTAACATGGCGACCCCCTACACCAAACCAACGATGGACTCAAATAGACCATATTGCCATCAGTCATCGTTGGAGAGGGTCGGTAGAAGATTGTCGCTCATTCTGGAGTACCTGCTTGGACTCCGACTACACCCTAATACGGGCACGCATCTGCTTGCGCCTCACTGGACGCCACATTAAAAAGACCCATTAGAACTGAATTGAGTAGCGAGAAAACCAAAAGTAGGTTCCAGGAACAACTGAGGTCACAATTAGGTAGTTCTGAAAACGAGGCTGACCCAGATGTTGCTTGGAAAGCTATACAAACAGCTGTGGAAACAGCAGTGACATCTATCAGTGATTTAAACCACAAGGTTACAAAGAACCAAGGGATTTCCTCAAGGTCTATTGCACTGATGGATTCTCGTAAACTCATCCCATCAGGCTCTGAACACGATGAAGAGCGACAACAAATCAGATCTAGGTTAACCAAAAGTCTAAGGAACGACCGTGAGCAGTGGTGGGCAACGAAAGCAAAAGAGATGGAAAAGGCGGCGACTATAGGGAACACAAGACAGCTTTACAGACTAATAAAAGAAACTGGAATTAATAAGTCAAGTGTAAGTGAGATTATTTCGGAAAAAGACGATACTCTCATCTGCTCCCAGTCCAGACGTTTAGAACGATGGGCGGAACATTTCAGAGAACAGTTCAGCTGGCCTTCAGCTACTCTACAACTACCCTCCATTCCCAGACAGTGTGAATGGAACATTGAAGTAGGTCCCCCAACTCTAGCTGAAGTTCAAAAGGCTATAGTTAATCTGAAACGAGGAAGGGCAGCTGGTCCAGATGGATTGGCTCCAGAGGTCTTTAAGGATGGTGGTCCAATTTTAGCGATTAGGTTGACTAATATTTTAGCTAAGATCTGGGAATTAGACGTTATTCCATCTGACTGGTCACAATCACTTATCGTCCCAATATATAAGAGAGGGTCAAAATCATCCTGTGACAACCACAGAGGGATTAGTTTAACTAATATAGTATCTAAAATACTAGCCTCGATAATTATCAGACGCCTAACTAAGACTCGTGAACTGCAAACACGAGAGAATCAAGCTGGCTTCAGACCTGGTCGTGGCTGCATCGACCACATATTCACCATTCGTCAGGTTCTAGAACACAGGCATACTTATCGGCGTCCGACAATGGTGGTCTTTCTTGACTTAAAAGCAGCATTTGACTCTGTAGACCGCGAGATTCTGTGGCAGTGTCTGTCATTGAAAGGCGTACCTCAGAAGTACATAAACCTTGTGAAGGCTCTTTACTCGAACACTACTAGTCGAGTCAGGGCTTATGGCGAACTGTCATCTACTTTTGCAACCTCAAGTGGTGTCCGTCAAGGCTGTCCACTTTCTCCATTTTTGTTTAACTTCATCATAGACCTATTGATGGAAATAACATCTCGTCGACTGAATTCTCGGGTATTGATCTCCTTCCAGGAGGTCCACTTATCGACTTAGAATACGCAGATGACATAGTCCTGTTTGGTGAAGACGCTGACAAAATGCAGAGTCTTTGGTAGCACTAAGCAACAATGCCAGAATGTTTGGAATGCGCTTCTCTCCCTCTAAATGCAAGTTGTTGCTTCAGGACTGGTCTGCGTCAACACCTGAACTAAGGATAGGGAGTGAAGTAGTCGAACGCGTTGACAACTTCACTTATCTTGGAAGTCTGATCAGCCCTAATGGGTTGGTGTCTGACGAAATCTCAGCACGGATTCGAAAAGCTCGTTTGGCTTTTGCCAACTTACGTCACCTTGGCGAAGGCGAGATATCCGTCTATCAATAAAAGGACGAGTATACTGCGCGGCAGTCCGTTCTGTTTTAATTTACGGCAGCGAAACATGGCCATTAAGAGTAGAAGACACTCGTAAGCTACTAGTATTTGACCACAGATGCCTTAGAAATATTGCTGGCGTCTGCTGGGATCACCGGGTAAGTAATAGTGAGGTTAGACGCAGGGTATTAGGGAATGATGGTAAATCAGTTGATGAGGTTATGAATCTTCATCGACTGAGATGGTTGGGCCACGTATTACGTATGCCTGAACACCGATTACCACGACGTGCAATGCTAACCGGTGTAGGGGATGGTTGGAAGAAAGTTAGGGGCGGCCAAACCAAAACGTGGCATCAGTGCCTGAAGTCACTAACTTCTAGTCTGAGCCATGTTGGTAGATGCAGACTACTTGGTTGGGGTCCGCGTGACTATCGTAACCAATGGTTGGAGACTCTTGGTGACATGGCTCAGAATCGATCACAATGGCGTCGGTGTATACACTCTGTCTTCCCTTAAACTAAGAGATTAAAATCGCTTCATATCTTTCTTTCTACGAACTAATTCTTTCTTCCTGTACTATATCCTTATTGCAATCTTTCTTTTATATATTACCACCTCTGAATTAACTACTTTTATGAATCCTGTGTCCATCTTGTTGTGTTGATGAGGTATGGCAACTTGGACCGATGCATATATGTGCCTGGTCCTACGTTGTAGCTGATTGATTGGTTGGGGTGCGCACGATAAGTAGTTGGAAACGTTGGGTGATATTTCAAATCCGGTCACAATGACACACACGCACTCTTTATCTTACTCTAGATCTTCAGTCTCAGTATTCCTTCACATATTGTACCTTTGCATTTTTTCAAACTTCATTCTGGCTATTCTGCAGTTACCCATAGTTCGTAATTATTTGTGTCTGATATATCTAGAAATCTTCAACTGCGCTCCACATATGCAACGTTTCGTGCAGCATGATATTGGCATTGTCTCTGCATAAATGTAAATCAGTCTGATTTACAAACTTAGGTTTTCTTAACATTTGTAATTTCAACCTACCTTTTTCATATTGAATTTTAAAGGTTGCTAAGTGAGGAGAACTAACTTTCACATATGAAATCTTAGAGAATAAACGCTTTGTAAGTGACATTCATGCAACATTGTCCTAAATAGTTGCTATGGTATCCGTTTACGGTATTCGGAACGATTACGAAGGGTGATAAAAACAATTCTACCAACCACTGAAGTGGTGAATAAATTTGAAATTAGTAAAAACTGAACGGTTTTCTCTAGCTTACCTGGGGAGTAAATATATTGGATCTTTGGATATCAGTACCATACATAATACATAAATCGATTTAAAACCTTTCGTTTGAAGTAATTAGTGCCTTA